TTCCCTGCCTAAAACTCTGTGGGAAGCAGCCTTCCCAGGCCAGATGGCCCTTGTCTGTCTCTCCAGCCTCACCCTTCACCACTCTTTGCCCCTCACTTCTATGTACTCCATTGGACACACCTGTGAACTTTCTTTTCCTAGAATCAGTTCTTCTACCTGGAACAACCTTCCACAACCTTCCTACCTAGCTAACTGGTATGGGTTTCTTTAGGAGACTGTGTAAATAAATACTCCTTTTCCAGGAAGTCTTCCTGACTCTGCCACCTTGTGTGTTGTGGGGGAAGGAGTCTGTGTATACACATATATGCATACATATACCAGTAAACATATACATTATTTTCTTAACCATTGAGATGTCTTGCTTCTTTACCCATATCTACTTTAGAATAGATTTCCTAGGAACAAGAACATTTTCTTATATAACCACCATAGAATTATTAAAATCAGGAAATTCAATATTATTAAAATACTATTCCCTAATATGCATTGATATTCAAATCTTGCCCATTGCCCAATATGTAATATCATTATACCTATTTTTTTTTAATTTCCCACAAGTTCAGGATTCTATCCAGCATCATACATTACATTTAGTTGTCAACTCTTTTTAGTCTTTTTAAATCAGACACAGTCCCTCTGCCCTTCTTTGACCTTTGACATTTGAAAAATGTAAGCTAGTTGTTTTGTAGAATAGCCCCAATTTGACTTTTTTCAGTGTTTCCTTGTGCCTACCACAGACGTGATGTCATGTCCTTCTAAGTACATCATATCAAGAGGCCCAAGATGTCATGTTATCCCAGTATCAATGATATTTGCTTTGATCTTTTGGGGAAGGTGGTACCTGCCAGATTTCTTTACTACAAAGTGATTCTTTTTTAACATTGTAAGTAATTATTTTTGGGGGGGGGTGGGGGTAGATACTTTGGAATGATGGAAATGTCTAGTTGCTCATCAGAGTCTCATCCATTGATCTGGCATTCATTTTATATCTGCTTAATTTTTAAGGAAGCTTATTTTACATTGTTAATAAAGAATAGGATGATGATAAATGGGCTCTTTAAACCACCCCCCGTAAAATACCTGCATCTCCCATATCAACCTAATCTCTTCATTTATGAAGATCTTATCACCTAAAGTTGTGAGAAGACTCATATGCATGGCACTAGCCAAGGCAGTATTTCTCATTTGCATTTTCCACTCTATTCTTGAATTATCTTTTCATTTCCTTTTCTTTTGCAATAAAAAAAGAATCCATAAAAAGAGGCATATTTTTTATAATGAGAAAGAAGATATACATTATTATTTCTGGCTTGTCAAATGTCATAATACAGCTTCTGGTCACATTATGATGGGCATCAGTAATTGCATTTATTTTTTCATGCTTGCTACAAGGACTCACTTAGGACTCTGAAGAGCTTCTTGTAGCCGTGGGGTTTGTGGATTGAAAATCATTTGGATTGATTAAAGTCATGAGGAGAATTATGATAAGGGTCAGATCACATGGGCACCAGGAAGGGAAAATATTACCATTTAAACGAGAAATGGGATTTTTTTTCTCCTTAAGTGAATCATATTTACAGTGACAGGTGGGGTAGCTCCTTATAAGATTAATAATACCTGATGTTCACTCATCCATTTATTCAAAAGAAAATTATCCTGTGCGAAGCACCATTATATACAACTTTTAACTTTCCCGAGGATATCTTTGCATAACATCCTTCTGGGTCTTTAAGCAAGATTTGGCTAAAAGGAACCTTGAAGAATTGCCTATAAGTTTCACTTAACGACCTCAGAAATAGAAATATCCCAGATCAAGCAGTATTCGTCCACTGTCTAGGGAGATTGGCTGCTTAACAAGCACTCAGTTTCTGAAACCACCAAGTGGAGTGGAGAGGAAGGAAGGGATCTCCCGCCCCCCAACCCCAGTTAACAAGATCTGAAAAAGCTAGCTGGTGTTCCTAGGACACCACATAGCACATCCTAGAATGTCCTGGAAAAGAACCTCTCTCTTCTGTCCCACCTGTCACTGTCCTTTGAGGTTCTGGCCACAACTGGGGTTCTTCCAAATATCATCGGTGTCAGAAAAATTTAGAGCTGGAGAAAACCTAAAGAATAGACACCTTCCCTTCAAGACATGTCTGAATGTACTTTTATGTATTATTCAATTTGTTCCTCACTAAAAGCTTGTGAGAAAAGTCGAGTAAGAACAGTTTTCCTCATATTATGGTGAGGAAACTGAAGACTAGCCAGGTGAAGGGACAGTTCAGGGTTAGCAATGAACCAGACCTAGAGTTCTGACCTCTGGGGTCATAGCCCACCAGGCCATACTTTTACTGATAGCTGCAACTCGGTCATCAGAATCTCTTCCCCTTAAATGCTTTCGTGGCGCTTAGCACAGTGTTAGTTGTGTATTATTTATGACTAGAGGCCCGGTGCATGGATTCATGCACTGGTGGAGTCCTTTGGCCTGGCCTGTGCCCTCTCACAATTCAGGACCACTTGGGGATGTCAGAGAGCCAGTTTCGGCCCGATCCCCACAGGCCTGACCCAGACAGGAGGGAGCCCAATCCTGTGTGTTGAGCATCTGCCCCCTGGTGGTGAGTGCACATCATAGCAACCGGTTGACCAGTTGAACGGTTGAATGGTCGCTTAGGCTTTTATATATATAGATTATTTGCTCAATGTCTCTCAGCCTAGAACAAAAATGGATTATGGGGATTGAATCTAGTTTCCTCACATTGTATCCCAGTACCTTCCTTGGATGGATGGGAGGTCAGAGGGTGGATTTGAGCTGATATACCACATATTTCTTCTGACCATGGAGACCTCATGTGTCTGTTTTCAGTACGTAGCTTGCTGCCAGAAATGTCCCTATCAGTGGACTCATCTTGGCACCGGTGGCAGTGGCGTATCCGAGATGGCCTCCTCCAGTCCCCATCAGAAGCCACACCACTGCTGTCCCCAGAGAAGGAGAGGCAGAGCTACAACCTGACGCGGCAACGGATTGTGTTCCCCAACAACAACATATTCCACCAAGATTGGGCAGAGGTCTCCAAGAGATACTCAGGCAACAGAATCTGCACAACCAAGTACACCCTCCTCACCTTCCTGCCCCGGAATCTCGTGGAGCAGTTTCACAGGTACACTTGGCCAATACTCACTTGAAGCACACACCTGCCACTCAGAGACCTCAGAGATGCGCACTATGGGCCACGTTTCCTTTAAAATCCAAATGCATGTACATTGGAAGTCTTATCATTCATTCATTCAGTAAATATTTATACAGATTCTGCTCAGATATTAGAGGTTCTGTATATATTCTACTCTGTATTAGGTCATCTGTTGAGTTCTAGAAATACATGAGGAACAAAAAGAGACTGTCCTGAGTATATTGTCCAGTGAAAGAGACATTAATTTTACTAATTATATAAATCGATGTAAAATTATAACTCATATATTCCCCAAGGAGAGACATATGGTGCTGTTAGAGGAAGAGGGAAATCTGGCCTCATTAAGAAAGTCCAGGAAGACTTCCAGGAGGAACTGATCATTGAAGTATAACCTGGAAGGAGAGAATGTGTTAAGTAGGTGAAAAGAGGCAGATAGGAGTCAGAGAAGGGAGTCAGAAGACTGTTCCTACAGACAGATCTTCATGTACAAAGGCACTGTGGCAAGGGGGAGCAAGATGCACTTGGAGAACTTAAAAATGCAACCCACTCTTTAGAGATAACATATGCAAAATCATCTTTTCATTTTGTAAAGCAAAATGTGCACTTTGATATCATCCTAACCTTTATAATTATTATTATAAGCTACCATTTATTGAGCAACTGCCATGCTCCAAAACCCTCTATTGTGTACATAAATATTAGCTCATGTAATATCTATAAGAGCCCTTTAAAGTAGGCAGTACTATCCCTATTTTACACAAGACAAAGCAGGCTCGGGAGGTCACACAACTAGTAAACAATAGGAACCCAGTTTGAATCTAGATAGATCTGGCTTCACAGCCCTTACCATAATGTTCGAGGTGACACTGAGAAAGAATGTCATTTTAGTTGGTTAAAGGCCAACAGTAGAAATAGTGTGGAGAATATATTTTTCTCCTCCGTGATATTCACTCACACCTTGCTTGCCCCTTCCAGGTGGGCCAACCTCTATTTCCTGTTCCTGGTGATTCTGAACTGGATGCCCACCATGGAAGTTTTCCACAGGGAAATCACCATGTTACCATTGGCCACTGTGCTGTTCATCATCATGGTCAAGGACGGCCTGGAGGACTTCAAGCGGTACTGCTTCGATAGAGAGATAAACTGCTCCCACATCCAGATATATGAAAGGTAAGAGGAATCATTCTCCTGCCGTCTCTCTTGTAAATAGGTCATGCAGACTCATCCGCACTTTCAAAAGGTTGGTCTCTCTTCTCATACATTTTCTTACATTCACTTAATCCAGTGATTCTCAACCAGGGCACGTTTGCCCCGCAGGGGACATTTGACAATGTCTGGAGACATTTGTGGTTGTCATTTTGGGAAAGGAAGTTGCTACCGGTATCTATCTAGTTGGTCTTAGTAAAGGATCATGTTAAACATCTTACAATATATGAGACAGCCCCCACAGCAAACAATTATTACCCAACCTCAAGTGTCAAAAGTGCTCAGACTTAGAAACCTTCATTTCACTTGTATAAACTCTCACCTACTTAAACATAGCGATGTTATATTATTAGAAATAGGGCTAAGAGCTCAAAAATCAAACTCTAGTATTGACTGGATCATCTCAGGAGACCAAATTGAGGAGCAGATCTTAGAGAGTGGCAGGCAATGTCTCCCAAACAAGAAAATGAATACCAGTTTTCCAGCATTTGAGCCTCTTGGTTAAAAATCCTTGCCTTTAGAACTTAACCAGATAGGTTTTAGGACCCAGAGTAGGCACACCTGTTCTTGGCTGCCCGGACTGGAGGACTGGAAACGAAAGATACCTGTGGGTGACGTCTACATTCCAACAGGTGGAGTCTCAACAAGTAGGAGGAAGTGGCCTGGCAGGTGGACACCTGCTCTTAGCAAGCTCTTTCCTTGTCAGATTTCTCCCCGGGTGTTTGTGGACCAGCTTTTTATTTTCAATATGCCTTGTAAAAGAAGAGAGAAATTTTCAGCAGAGAAGGGAGGTAAACGATGTCAGGGACATGACTGGCTGGTTGCTGAACCATGAAACTGACCAGGGGGAAACCTCCTTCCTGTGGAATTCACATGAGAATCAAAGAGACGGGATTGAGCAGAGATGAAAAAGGAAGGGAAGGCACGGCGGAAAAAGAAAGAAGACAAGAAACGAGTGGTGGTCTCCAACCTGCCCTTCGAAGGATGTGCCCACAAAGAGAACCCCAACAGACATTACCGCGGGAATCAAATTAAGACCAGCAAGTACACTGTGCTGTCCTTCGTACCCAAGAACGTCTTTGAGCAGCTACACCGGTTTGCCAATATCTATTTCGTGGGCATTGCTGTTCTGAATTTTGTCCCCGTGGTCAATGCTTTCCAGCCTGAGGTGAACCTGATACCCATCTGTATCATCCTGGGGGTCACTGCCATCAAGGATGCTTGGGAAGACTTCCGGAGGTACCAATCCGACAAAGTGATCAACAACCGAGAATGCCTCGTCTACAGCAGGTAAAGCAAAAATCCTTCGGGGAGTCTCGTGGGCCCAGCTCTGTTCTGTCTGTGGCTGCTGCCCCTCTGGGCTACTGTTTAGAGAAGAAATGGAGTAGGGAGATAACATTATTTTATCTCGGTGAAGCTGTTCAGTTTCTTCACAGTGAAGATTATAGTCTAAAACAAACAAAACAAAAAACAGGAAACAAAAATTAAAATAGAGGCTTGACTCAATTGTTCAGTTGTTTATTAAAATTTGGCCTTTGTTATGTGACATTTTCTTTGCTGTATCAAATGTGTTCAGTATCTAAGAATTTTGCATCCACTCTCGTGTATTCTTAGTCCTGTGTGGCCATGAGCACATTAGAGTTCAGAGCCCCTCCAGGGCAAGAGGCATGGCTGTTTGGGGAGCAGTGGAGTGTTGTATTAGGAGAAGCAGCATCGGAGAAACACTGCCTGGGTTGAACACTGTCTCTACCACTAGGGAACTACGTGACCTTAGGCACCTGACCTAATCTCTCTGAGCCTCATTTCTGCATTCATAAAATCGGAACACTTCCGGGGTGGTCCCCATAATTGCACAAGATAATCCTTAGAAAGTTCTTAGCGCTATGCCCGACCTATAATAAATGCTCAATGTGTAAGTGGTGACTGCTTTATTTTTAGAATGTAATACTCATATTAGCTCCATCATTAAGCCTGTCCTTAAGCTTTCTCTCTGATGTTGTCCCAACCAAAGCAAAAACTGCACACCACCTGTCTTGCCACATTGTTCTCTTATGCATGTCATTGTTTTATAGAGGTTCTATCGAGCAAGTGACCAAACTCGGTTGTTTGGAAAAGGACACAGTCTTGGTCAGTAAGGGAAGGAAATAGTTATTGTGTGTCTCAACTTTGCAACGTAGCCTGGAAGAAGCAAGGCAGCCGAGCCTGGGCTTGCAGAGACTGCCGGACCGAGTGCATGCTGGGCTAGCAGGTAGACGCCTTAGCTGATTGACTCACCGGCAGGTGAGGACTTGACTTGTTGGCAAATTAGGAACATGTCTCGTTCAAGGAGCGCTATCTGTCTGACGTTTTCCCTCTGGCTTTATCAACCTGAATTCAGTAGAAATTCCACAGTCGCTCTGACCATTCTTGCTGCAAGGTGTGCGCTGCAGCCGTATGTGTAAGTGTAAGGTCTGCTTCCTGCTAAGGGGGGGTCCTCTTCCTCAACTTGGAGCTGCTGATGAGAGCGTTTCTGAGCCCAGCTTCACTTGGAAAGTTGTCGCCAGGGAAACTTCTAAGGAGACATGTAACATAGGTGACTCATTCGTCCCCAGGACACCCCCAAGAGAAGCTCCACTTTCTCCCTCCGCTTCAGATGAGCTTCCAGCCACACCTACGTCTAAAAAAATCTCAAGGCTTTTGGTTTGGGTTTGTTGTTGTTTTCTCAGCTAGACCCAGTTGTCTTGAATGTTGTTGGCACAACCTAGGGTTGAGATTAGTCATTCCTCACCTCTGAATGGGAATTGTAAAGAGAAGGAAAGATGACTGTTGGGGTCCGATGCCTTTCTGTGAAGAGACTGGCTTTGAAGAAAGCACAGGTTTCACCTGTCACCAACCCACCCCATCGCTTTGTTTTCCACCTTTCCCCTTTGTTGTTGTTTTCAGAGAAGACAGGGAGCCAGGAAGCTGGTATCTTGGGGAGGGATGCCTGTGGACCTCAATTAGGCTGGTCCTGTTCTCCCTGCTCTGCCAGAAATCCTCTGTCCTAGGCATCCCAGAATAATGGGGCTATTCTTCGGGATAGCGTCAGTGTTGATCAGACCACAGACTGGCCTGTGCTGGGTGCTGGCCTGATGGAGACCAGGCTGCTATAGTTCTGTTCTCAAAACAACTTCCAGGGAATAGCAGAGAATAATTCCAGCAACAAGAGGCATTAGTCCACAGGCTCACTGACAGGGAGGGACATTGTGACAGTATTTCCCAAGGTATATTTAGTTGATAATAGGGACAAAGACATGGTCTCTGAAAAAAGATATCCAAGCCCCCCTTCCCAAAAATAATACATGCTGGCCCTCTTAACCCCCTGGCCCATGAAGGACTAAAAAAAGATGCACAGTAAAGAAACTTGTTCATCAACGACTCACTCAGTTGTTCATAAAATGACATGGTCTTGGTCAGTAAGGGAAGAAAAGAGAGTTATTGTGTGTCTCAACTTTGTAACGTAGTTGTTGCAAAATTACTGAACCTTGGAAATATTTTTTAATATTTATTACTTTTTCCAGGATAGCAAAATAATTGACTACTGGGCCAGGAAGGTAATTGAATGAATAGACTGGGTATAAGGAGGAAAGCAATATTTTTTGTGTAGTTATAAATGACCACTGACACTTAGCATTAGTGTTAGGGTACAATTGAGAGTGGCAGGGACTGTGGCAAACAGGAGGTGGCCATGTGTTCATCTCAGGAGGCAAAGATGGCCACTTGGCTCTAGCTGGTTACTATGTGGAAATACAGGGTGGAGCAAAAGTAGGTTTACAGTTGTGAGCACACAGAACAAAGAGTTTATTCTTGTATTATTATTTCTTAATTTATTGTGTTATTTTCCATATGGACAAGTATAAGCCTACTTTTGCCCCACCCTGTATAGGCCTGGTGTTGCAGGATTGCCTGAGTTTTATTGGGAAAGCTAGAATTAATATTTTTATTTGAAATAACCTGATTTTTACATTGTAACTGGTTGATTTTTTTCAAATACTTCAGACCTATTTTATTTAACATAAAGTTTTTATGTTGCCTATGAGCCCCCTCATTTGCAACTTTTGCATTGAGCAGCTCCTGCATTGAGCGTCTGCCCCCTGGTGGTGTGCATCATAGTGACTGGTTGTTCTGCAATTTGGTCAATTTGCATATTAGCCTTTTATTATATAGGATAAAGTTTCTGTTGGACTCTCCTTAAGTAACCTAACCAACTTTGTTTGATTCAGTTGTGTCAGTTGAAATGTTTTCTGCTACAAGCAGCAGAAAGCTCAGCTCAAACAAGTTTAAATGACAAAGAGACTTGTTGGTTTAAGTCACTACAAACATTCTGAGATGGGCAGGTGATCAGACACAGTTCAATCTGTGTTCTAGATCCTGCACTTAGCTGTCCTTTTCATTGAGTCCCCCTGTATCATCATTATTCTTAGGCAAACTTCCCTCATGGCAATAAGATGGCTGCAGCAGCTCCAGCCTTCACATCTACATAGGATAATTCACAAAGGGAGAAAGAAGGGCACTCTGAAAACATTCTTGGAAGATTGAGTCCCTCCTCACACGTCAGTGACCACAGTGGGTCACATGCCCACCCCTAAACCAATCCCTGTGAGCAGGAGGTGAGATTATGCTAATTAGGTTATATCTGAGCCACAGAGTCCAACATGCAGTCTGCTTCCCTGAAAACATCTGAGCTACCCAGAGAAGATGGAAAACCAAAAAGGGGAGGGGGGAATGAGATAGTGTCTGAGAAGGGGAAACAGATGTTAGAGAGGCCACCTCCATGTCCTTAAAATTGCTCTCATCACCTTAAAATTCTTTTGAGCCTAGACTCTTTATAAATTGCTTTCCACATATTAACAGACTGGAACATATACATTTTGGGACATTGTGGACTGCATATCCCTAAAGTTCTTCCAACTCTGAAGTAGTTTCATTCTATGAAAGACCCCAGAATAGGAAATGCCAGATAGTGTTAGTTATTATGTTAACTGACGGATGCTCAACGGCACTTCCTTTTCTCAAGTAGATGCAGGATGTCAGGCAAAGAATGCAAGATCAGAGAGGATAATTTTTTTTCTGAGAAGCATCAGAAAAGCTTATATATCAAGCACTAGCTCTATCCCTTTTGTCTCAGATTCACACATTTGAGAAACTGATGTCCTTTTGCAGGGAGTTATTTTCATTTTTGTGCAATTGAATTCTAGGGCCCTTCGACTTTTGCTCAACCTCACCCCATGCATCATCCAGCCTAGACATGTTTAGACTATGAGGGAATCTTCTCGCAAACACCAGCAGCCTTGTTAACAAACTCACAGTCCTGTTAGAGCATTTTCTTTTAATATAGCGACTGTGCTTGTGGTCTAAAGGTGACCCATTAATCAGACTCGTGGAATGACTTAAAGGAGAGATGAGCTTTGGAATTGGATTAGCTTTGTTTCTCCCAGAGCTCAGTTTAATGAATCTAGAAACCGTACCCAGCAAGAGATTTTTTTCATCCAGTTTAGTAAATTTTTATTTGTATTTAGAACACATGCAGTAAGGAGGCAGGAGTGGGAACCAAGAGAATGCAGGCCAGTTTTTGTATTTTGTGTATTATAATGTAGCAAAAGTGCTTCAGGGGCCAGATGCTCCATTTATTCCTCGGTTTAGCAAATATTCATTCAGGACTGAGTGTGTATGCACCACCGTGGGCCCTGGGTGCCCTCAAGGGGCTCTCAGTGGTCCGGGGGTCAGGAGGCACCATGTGCATTGGTAGCCTGTGTACAAAGGGCCACAGTCACGCAGGGGATATGGTGACTCATCTGCATGTGACAAACATCCAGGCCGAGGGAAGCCTTCCCTGAAGAAGTGACATTTCAGAAGGGATTGAAGGATGAGCAGCATTTAGCCAGGCAGAGGGAACACCTTTCGGGTCACAGTCTGTTCACATGTCAACTAAAGGCTGTGTGTGTGGCCTAGGCTGCTATCAAAAGGACCAGAATCGAGAAATGTCAGAAACCGAGGAGAGGAATGACTCAGCTGAAAATTTCTTAAATTCTGACACTTTACCAAGACGTGGAGATTGTCTTTTCTGGAAGTGCGGTGGCTGCTGTAACATAGAAATAATTGCAGGTGCTGCAGGAGTGCGGGCCTGATTTCCTGTGCCGGTGCCCCCATTGGAAAGCCTGAGCATGAGGAAGCAGAGGTCCTGCCCCTGGGTCTGTCACTAATTAACCCCATGACCTGGATGAGGCTGCTTACGCAGTTGGGGCCCCATTGGTCTCGTCTTTAAATGGTGA